TCACTGCCCGCGGGGCGGTGCCTGAAGTGCCTCACCTGGACGGGGACACGGAAACCCCGCTTCACAGGAAGCCCGTTCTGGTGGATGGAGCTGCTTAGGGACTGACCAGCAGTGTTTCCAGGGAATTCTAATGTGGGGGTGCTGTCACTCCTCTTGGTGTGAAAGAGCACGTTTCAGATTACATTTTATGGAAAAGAAAACATACAAGTAGGCAAGAGAAGGAAGTGGATAAAATTGGGGTGGAGAGGCCTTGTCTCTGTAGAGCCGGGATGAGGCCCTGGGCCTCGGGGAACTTGTCAGCTGACTGCTACTTCGTGGCCCTGAGCCGAGCTGGCTCTTAGGCCAGAATTTGAGAGCATTGTTGCACAGGGCAGGAGTCCCCCAGCAGCCTTGGATTTCCCTGGATGGTTTGCTTTCCTTCCTTCCAAGCCCCTGGTTCACTGTGCCGGCACATGGCTCGGTGACCATGGACACATTGGTATTCAGACCAGAAATCTCTTCTTCATCCCCTTCTCTTGCTCAGCCTGCACCCCCTGCACCTCTGCTGACTGTGGGGCAGAGCACCTGCAGGTCCCTCCAGCCCCATCCCCCTCTGTGGTTTCCAGATGGAAGTTGCCTCTGCCTTGCTGTCCGTCCCACCCCTCCATCTGCTTTCTACCCTACCGACATCTGCTGAGGCACTTGTCCTTAGATGCACCAAGTCCCTGTGCAGATCTTTCTGTGACTGAAGGTTGCAACTGTCCTCTCCCTCCTTGTCACTGGGATCTGGCACTCCCGGGCCTTTCGACCAGTGTGAGTCCATGGCCTTCCTCGATGGGGGAAATTTCTTCCAGTCTTCCTTTCATCCCTCATTCAGCCAGGAGCGGCTGGCCTGAGGCTCTCTCTGTAAAGGGCCAGACAATAAATGTATTAGGTGTCCGGGCCGCGCAGTCTTACTCTGTCAGAAGTGCTGGGCCCTGCTGTTGCAGTGAGACAGTATGCAAAAGAAGGGGCTGCGTCCCGATAAAACTTTATATGCAGAGTCGGGTCAGGGACCAGATTTGACCCAAGGGCCTGAGCTTGCCAACCCCTGGCCTAGGGGAATCCAAATCAGAATCTGTACTTAGAAAAAGTGTTGGTGAGAGACTGGGCGCCATTGTTGCCCTGTGGGTCTCGGTGGGCAGTGGACACCAGCAGTTCAAGGCATTCCTCTCTTGTTGGGTCCACTTGCCATCTAAAAACAGCCGAGACCAGTGATTTGGCCCTGCCCAGTCAAACACCACCTAGCACTTCTGGCTGTGAAGTCTGAGAACCAGGGTGTCTGCTTGGAGGGAGATGCCCATTTAGTCCAGCCATCCTCGCATGCGAAACGTCTAGGACGGGGCTCAGTCTCAGGCCACTTGCAGATTCCGTTGCTTGAATTAAATGAAATGTCCAAGAATGCGGAGACCCAGCCGATATTGTGACCCTCCACCTGCAGTTTCCTCTCTCCAAACACTGGGGGCTGCTGCCTGGTTGTGTAGGAGTTAGGGGCTGGGAGCTGTCAAGTAGAGGCAGCACCTGGCCACGTTCTCCTGAGCCTAGGGGAGCCCCACAGTCCTGCTTCCCTCAGGCGGTGCAGCTCAGGGCACAGGCTGCTGTGAAGGATTCGGAAGCAGCCTCCAGCCCCAGGCAGACAGTGCCCTTCTCCTCTGCACCTCCATGTGCTGCCCTTCCTCCCCCTCTGAGCCCCAGCACCCGCCCTGTGAGCCCCCACCCTGCGTTCTTCTTTAAGAGGCCCTTCACAGGGAAGGCCCAGCTCTCACTCTCTCAGCATGGCTGCGATTTGGAAGGGCTGATGGGTATTCCTGGTGGTTCATCTGGTCCCCAAGCTGCGTGATGGGGGCATTCCTGCTTCCTAAGAACCCCACCTCCCCCGGGGGCACCCACTTTCAGGAACTTTCAGTAGAAGGAAAAGCTCAGGCATTTGACTTGGGTTTAAGAAATAACCCGGAGACAGAAGTGCAAGGCCAGGCACATCCCGGGGCACTGCTCACCTTGTGCAACTGCACACAACTCCATTCCAGGCATGGGGGACAGGAGGAAGTCGTCTGCTTCAGGTTTCACCCCAGTCAAGCGCCTACGCAGCACTTCTTTAGAGAATCCTTGTGTGATTTCAAGATACAGCCCAGTGTTTACTTAAACCAGGAGGCATACCTGTCGCTTCTCGCCATTCAGCCCAGTCACCCCTCACCGTCTCTGTCCACCCACCCACCCACGTATGCCCGGCACTCCGCTCGCTGTGTGTGGCGTCAGCCCTGAGAGGGCCAGGGCTGCCTGCCTCTGTGGTGGTGACCTGCCCCCTGCACCGGTGAGTGGGAGAGGTCAGCAGGGGACCCAGGAGAAGGGAGCCCCTGGCTCTGCCTGGGATGGGAGGGGGCCTCTCCAGACAAGCACAGACAAGATACCGTTTTAAAGACATGCAGTAAAATACACGTAAGACAAAATGTACCATTCGTTTCAGAATGTTCTCCTTACTCTAAAAGGAAGCCCCTTGCCTGTTTAAGCAGTGAGGCTTCATCACCCCCACCCCCACCCCAGGCCCCTGGCTTTCTTGATCTCTGATTTTCTTCCCACAGCCATTTCAGGTAAATGGAACCAGAGTGTGTGCGCAGAAGCCTCTTCAAGGTCCGTGCCGTGGCCATGTCAGCGCTCTGCCCCTTTCTGTGGTTTGGAATGGAATATTCCAGTTTGGGTAGAATACGTTGTGTTTGGTCATCCCAGCCTGGTCATGGAGAATACCGCCTCAGGGAGAGCCAGAGTGTGGGTTTTTGCTTGAGCTCGTTTCGTTTTTGCTTGAGCTCGGGGCGTACATCTAGGAGTGGGGTTGCTGCGTCGTGTGTGACTTTATGTTCAACCTGCCAAGCTGTTTGCCACAGCAGTGCTCCTCATGCCCTCCCCCGGCGTGTGGGGCTCTGGTTTCTGCACATCCTCCTGACGGTTGTTGCATCACAGCGGCTTGTGTCACACTTCCCCAGTAGCCCCAGTGCGCTGGCCATTTGTGTGTTCAGAAAGCTGTCCATCAGTCCTTCACTGCTTTTCAGCTGAGTGGTTTGTCTCTCTGTCGTCAGCGCTCTGAACACATTCTGGACCCGGGACTCTCACAGGTGTCTGGCTTGCAAGTCTTTTCTCCCATTCTGTGCATTTTCTTTTTGCTTTTTTATTTTAATTTCTCAGTTCTTTTAATTTTCTTAATTTTCTTAATTTTCTTTGTGTTCATTGATGCACAAAAGTTGATAAATTCTTGAAGTCCAATTTTGTTGTTGTTGTTGTTATTGCTTATGCTTTTGGTGTCATAGCTAAGAAACTCCAGTCAAATCCAGGGTCATAAAGATTTCCTCTGTTCTCTTCTAAGAGTTTCAGCTTTCACACTTAAGTCACTGATCTGTTTTGAGTTACTCTTTGTATAGGGTGTGAGGTAGGGATCTGGCTCTCTCCTGCATATGGATGTCCTGGTGTCCCAGCACCGCATGTCAGAGACACTGTCTTGTCCCTACTGGATGGCCTTGGCTGAGTCTTGCTCCTCTGATCTCAGGGTCTGTGCTTATGCTGGGGCCATGCTGGTGAAAATGCTCTTTAAGGAGTACAAGCAGCTTGGGATTACTGGAGAGCAGAATGTGTCTGTGCCTGGAAGCAAGGGTGTGAAGGGCAGGATTTAGGAGTCAAGACCTAGGTTGTAGGAAGACGACTTGGCAGCCCCTGGACTGGTGGCTGTGTGAAGGCAGATGACACTGTCCTGCTCCCAAAAGTCCACATCCCCTTGTAGTAGCAGACACAGGGTCAGAGCATGGCGCTCCTGAGCCAGGGGCCTGACAATCGCCAGGGGTGGTTGTGTCTGCGCGCTGGCATGCTCCAGGTCTCACTGGCATGTGAGGTTGAGTGTTTGAGTGTTTCCAGAGCTGGGGGGAGGGGAGAATCCTGGGAAGAGGCAAGGGCATTTCATGTCCAAGGGACAGACGTTGGAATAGGACACAGAGCATCCATGAGCCTGAGGGCGCCTGGGAGGCCTGCAGGCATGGTGGGCCTGAGCCAGGAGTCTGGAAGGGCAGGGCAGGCCAGGGCAGCCAGAGACTGGCCTTGAGTATACCCTGAGGAGTTTGGATGCTCCTGTGGGCAGTAGGGAGGCACGGATGACCTTTGAGTAGAGAGGAGTCTGACGTCGGCCTTAGGAAGAAACATCTGGGCAACAGACTAAGATATGGTTGGGGAAAAACCAGGGCAGCTGGGTTGACTGTTGTCTGGAGGCAGCGGCTGCTTTGTTAAGATGCCAGCTCCAGGCTGCCTTCCTTCTCAGAGGTCAGGGAGGCAGGGTGAACCCCCAGAGGCCCATTCTCCACCTTTGGCAGTCCTTCCTACGTGGCCAGCGTGGTTTTATACAAACACACATACTCACACTCTCCTTTCCTCACATGTGGTTATTTTGAAGCAAATCTCAGTCTCTCATCTTGTTTGTAAATCTCGGCCGTGCTGTGTCCTTCAACAGACCTGCCCGGCACACCCGAGGCAGCTGCCCTCCCTCCTCATACCTGCCGTCCCGGGGCCAGGGCGCAGCTCCTGTGTGGTCCTAACTCACCGCTGGTCTGGCGGGGCCCCTTGAGTTTGAGTGGGCACGTGTATGAAGGGTGTGGCTACCAACTGAGGCCAGATTCCCCAGGGGACATTGGGCAACCTGTGGGTTGACACTCCGGGGGGCGCGGGACCTGCGGGCGGAGTGGGCCAGGCTGGGCGTGCTGCTCCACCCCTGCACAGGCCTGCACTCTAGGTCCGCAGGGCTGCAGGTGGGAACTGCCGTCACTTCCCTCAGTTCTGTGTCTTGTGGTTACACCCCTGAAGGTTAGCGCAGTCCCCTCTCCCCGGCATTGCCAGGAAACGTGTGGTTAGACCTCAAGGCTTGTCCGGTCACGGACAAGCAGCCTCCCTTGCCACAGGCTCTCCCCACCTGCTTCCCCTCAGCCCTGCTCACCTCTCCCCACCTTCCCCAGGTGCTCTTTCTAGAACCCCAGTGGGCACGGGGGTCTTCCTGACCAGGGGCTGGCGACCTGCTAGAGAAGGCTTGCAGACAGTAACCAGGAAAACCAGAGAACAAGTCTTGGTGAGAGTCACGGAAGAAGAAAAGGGTCAGCATGGAGAAGAGGGAAGAGGCGGCACCAAATGCCATCTGCCTGGACCAGGTTGCCCTCTGGGCACTCAGGCTAGGGGCACATCCAGCTCATCCTGTCCTCAAGCCCGGAGGCTCCTTGGTGGCTGTCAGCGAGATCCCTGCACTCCAGGGCTGTTGCCTAGCCCCTATCCTGTCCATCTCAGAGCAGGCAAGTGGGAGAGGATTCTCCCCGCCCCTTCAGCCTCCACTGTTCCCCTCGGCTCTTGTCGTCCACTTGGCCTGCAGGCCCATGCCATGGTCCCCCACGACTCTCCCTTGGCTTCCAGCCACCCTTCAGACTCTCACTAAGACTAGCGGGCTCTGAGGCAGCTCCAGCCTCACTGGGCTGCAGCCGCCTTTCTTGGGGGCATCCAGCCTTGGGGAATTCGTGGAAGACAGGCGTTATAGTGGGGTTTAGGGAAGCAGGGTTCATGCATTCATGATCAGGTGGGAAGAGTGACAATGCCCCAGTCAGAGCCCAGGAAACCCCTGGCTTTTTGAGGAAGAAGCTGCAGACTGAGGAAACGGAGCCCCGCCCTCCTGGCTCAGACACCACCTGCTGGGCTGAGTCTGGCCTCTTGGGAAGTCTGCCCAGCCCCCTGAAGCACCTTATTAGAAAGCAAGCAGCTCTTGTTTCTTAGTGAAAGTTGCGCTCAGGTATGAGCATGTGAATGGGGGGCTTGGGTTGGTGCTCGGGGAACCCTGCATGCCTGAGGAGGCCTGGCCCGGCTGTTTTCTGGACCAGGTGGGCAGTGGGCGCTGGCCCTGTGGGCAGACCCGAGGATCTGCCGGTGCCCTGTCTGCGGGTGGCTAGCTGACAGGCGGGCGAGCACAGCCTGTCTAAGGCCCGTGAGGCTCTGGGGTTCTGCTCAGCCGCTTCTACTCCAGCTGCTGCCGCTCTGCTTGCAAGTCGGCGCAGAGGGTAGGCGTGTGTGTGGTCGGTGCCATGCACAGGGGTGCACCCAGGTGGTGATGAGAGAGCACAAGTGGAGATGCCAGAGCCGAGGTTCTGTCAGCCTTCACTGAGGGCGAGGGCTGTGGTGGGGCAATCCCAAGTTCTCTGAGGTAGCCGCCGTGTTCGTGTCCTGTGCCTCCAAATTTAGTGGCTTAAAAGAACACAAACTTATGTCTGTAATCTGGGGACCACAGTCTAAAGGGAGGCTGTGGCTGCACCATGTGGGCAGGCTGGTTCCTTTCGAGCCTCTGCAAGAAAGTGCCTTTCCAGCTTCTGGACGCCACGCACTCCTTGGCTGGGGCTCTCCCTGCTGCTCCAGGCCAGCTCCAACTCCAGGCTCTGCGGCCTTGGCCTGTGCTGTCGAGACCCGCACTGCTGCAGCATCCTAATGCCCCTGTTGTCGGCCCTGCGCAGGGCCCCGAATCTCTTCACTTCAGGGAATTAAGGAACCGGCAGGCTCCGGCACTAGGACGTGACCACCTCTGGGTCGCTGCTGAGCTGACAGCATCGGCCTGTTTGGTGGATATTTATAAGTCAGAAGTTTGGTGGAAAACATGAGGTGTGTCTGTGTCCAGCGTTTTGAGGGGCGTGCTGTCTGGAACCCGGGGAGAACAGGAGTCAACGTCACGTGGAGCTGGCCTGGAGTGAAAGGCGTGTGTTTTCTCCATCCTCTACTTGGGCCGTGGCGACGACTGCCCGGCATATTCACGTGTGTGTTTTTATTTGGAAGCAGATTCCCAGCAGGAAGAACAGCCTCGCTGCGCCCCCGCCCGCAGTGTCCAGTAAGATAAAAGTGCCGCTGGCCCAGCCCATCTTGAAGAAGGAGAAGCGGCAGAACTCCTCCCGGTTCAGCATCAGCAATAACAGAGAGCTCCAGAAGCTGCCGTCCTTGAAAGGTAACCGCTCAGTTTGCCTCTTAGTGTTGGATTTCCGCTCGGGGAGGTGGCACTGCGGTGGCAAGCCTGCGGCGTCTCTCCTCCCTCACTGAGATGCCTGGGTTGCCTCAGCTTACCCAGCTGACGGTGTCAGCGCCACTCAAGATAAGATCTGATCGTGAGTGTGATACAGGTATACACTGAAAAGAAAGAGGGAAGCCTTAAAATCAGTCTTGTTAGTTGTCATTATGTAACCAGTCGTGCATGGTCCCCCCCTCTCCTCGCTCCATCCACGACTGGGAAGCAGTCACCATGCGGAGCCTGGGCCTAGCAGAACCATGACCTGGTCCTTCACTGACGTCCTCCATGGGCGGCCAGGTGATCTCACCAGGTGTTCACTGGAGTCCAGTCAGGAGATGACGCTCCGTGCATCATCCCCCGCAACAGAACAGACGCCCCTTTCCTTCTGCAGGTGTTCAACCCCTGAGTCTCCAGTTGGAGATTTTGAAATTGAAGGAAAATAGGATAAGGACCCTAAAGTCAAGTGGGATCCCTGAAAACTTTGTTTGCTAAATTAACACTAGTTTTACTAAATAAAGAAAACGTCATGTTTTTGTGCCTTACGGTCATCACCACGGTCTTTGAGGTGAGCCGTCAGGGTGAGTGAACTCAGGCGGAGCCCTGCCGCCCACGCAGGGGGCCAGGCACAGGTGGCTGTGCCTGTGGGCCGGGAGGCTCGGGTCCAGGGAGGCACTACTGCCCCTGGCTCACGGGAGCCCAGCCCACGACTTGCTGCTGCCTCGGGCTTGAGCTTGGCCTTCAGTCGGCGAAGCTTTGTGGCAGGCGGCACACACCCGGGCATTCTGATGGGCCTGTCTCCCCTTCCCCCTTTCCTCCACCTGGAGTGGCAGTGCCTTCCAGGCGCACTGCCCACCATCTCCTAGGCCCTGCTCAGGAACGCAGGGCTTGGCATCAGACAAACCAAGCCCCACTCTGCCGGAGCCCACATCCCAGGCCGAAGGTGCAGTGGGTGAGTGAAGGGAGGTGCATGGGGCCCCTCCTGCCAGCACCCCGGTGGCCGCTGGGTGGGCCAGGCTTCTCTTAACCATTGCTGATCCCCCAACAGCTCCCCCAGCATGGCTCCCTCCCCTGAGGGTGAGTGCCCCAGGCCCCACCACATCCATGATCTCCTCCTTCATCTCCTCCTAGGTGGCCATGCGGCCTCCCTCCAGGTCTGAGCCTGTTCCCAACCTCGTCCCTTCCCTCCTTACCCCTGGTGAGGGTGCCACCTGCTCACCTCCGGGGGGGGTGAGCATTGTGAGAAGTGTGAGACACTCAATGTGAGTGTGAGAAGAAGTGTGAGACACTGAGAAGTGTCTCGTCCATGCCGGGGGAGCAGCACGTGCCTTGGTCACCCCGGCTCTTCTGAAGTATCCTTAGATGCTTTGTGTAGTTCAGAAAAAAGGAGGAATTGGCTGGAATTATACTGCAGTTACGTATTAGTTTGGGCAGACTGACCCCTTCGTGACACTTCCCGTCTGCGAGGCTGATACAGCTCCTTTATTTTCCTCAGTCTTGTTTTCTGGCTTTTTTATAAGATTGTATTTTCTTACAAGTCTCTGCCTTTCCACTAAATTTATTCCTCAGTATGTCGTTTCTCTCACTCTTGTGACTGGGTTATGTATTTTCCATATCTGCTTCGAATTAGCTCTTGTTAATCTAATGAAAAGCTGTCTGTTTTTTAAGACTTTCTTATGCTCTCACTCACCGCACTACCACTCGCAGTCACTTTCTTACCGGAGTCGAGTCTTGCCATTTTTCTTCTGACACTTTTATCTCTCTGCTAGCTGCCCTGGGAATGAGCTGTACCGTTCACCGCGGCCACGCACAGGAAGGGAGCAAGGAGCAGGGGTCCTAGTGAGGCTGGTCACAGGTGGCAGTGGGGACTGGGGGCTGGAAAGGGGTAGTGTGTCCAGGGGGGTGTTGGTACCCAGCAGTTGGCAGCATGTCCCGCTTAGCTGCTACAGGGAAGGGGTTAACACATAGGTACACTTGGACCAGACGTTACTGCCAGCTCATCCTTGGTTCGCACTGGCTGAGTGCCAGGCGCAGTGGAGGGGCTGGGCCCAGAGGAAGAGGACTTCCCAGAGGGGTGAGCAAGTGGAGACCCCTTGGGTGGCCCCACTACACCCCGCACTGCCATCGAGGGATTGTGTGTCTCTGATACTCTTGTTCCTTGACGTAGCATCTCACCCCAGTCCTGCTTGGGCCCCACTGCCTCCTCCTGAGTGCCACACTGCCCCTAGGGTGGCACCTGTGCATTCCCCTGACACCCGGGGAGAGGGAGTTCATTGGCGCCCACTTGACCAGGTATCCCAAGCGGCCTCTGTCCAGTGCTGACTGGCCCCGCCCCCAGAGAAGATGACAGCCGGCCCTGCGCCACTGACCTGGCTGCCCTGTGTGCCTCCTCTGGCTCACCTTGCTCCTCAGTGCGGGTGCCAGAGAGCTGGTGGGACACGGGGAGGGGTGCGTGGACCAGAGCCATGAACAGGTTAGTCCATCACTGGCTCCTTGAGACAGGGAGTCAACAGCCTCTAGTTTGTTGGTTCAGTTTGTTGGGCCCGATTCAGGCTAATTTTTGTTTGTGTGCTTTTATGTACATGATTTCATTGATGCCCCACAATCTGTCTTTTGTGTCATAGTTTTTCCCATCACGACCCTTTGTTCTTAGCCTTTGCCTGAGAGGCAGCCTTCATTAAGGGATTCTCCCTGCAGAGCTTAATCTAGATGTCTTCTTAAAAATTGTTACTTTAAATTGCCATGAAAGTAGCATGTCTATCTTAGCAATATTGAACATCCCTGAGAAGTTTCTGAAAGAAGAAATGCCCGTGGCCGTAAGCACTCAGCAGTGGCTGCTCTTGACGTTTGCTGAGTATTTCTTGTTATGCTCACGCTGCTTCTAGAAAACTACATACTGCCCTCTTCATTTATATTTTCGTTTCGTAAATGTATTATGATGCATGTATTTCATGTGGGATAATCCCTTTGACATTAAGGTAGTTTCTGGCATTGTAAACTCATAAATAAAAATGTGATGCTCTCAAAAAGAACATGTCCCTGTTAGGCATAAACTTAACCAAAGAGATAAAAGACTTATAACACTGAAAACTATAAAATTCTGCTCAAAGAAATTAAAGAAGTTATCAATAAATGGAACAGTATGCTCATGGAGTCAAAGACTTAAACTGTTAAGAAATTCCCAAGGCCATCTGTAGATTCAGTGCAATCCCTGTCAAAATCCTAATGAAATTGTTTTCCCTTCTGCTTCGCCCGCTGCTCCCCTCAGCAGTATCTTCGGTCCATCTGCCTGTTCTGCTCCCCACTCTGTCTCTGGTGAATCCTCTCACCCTCCCGCGCCTCTAACCTGTACCCTGGCTCTTGTATAAATAAATCTTTAAAAAAAAAAAAAAGAAATTGTTTTCCAGAAAAAGAGAAATCCATTCTAAAATTCACATGGACTGTGAAAGGACCCTTGATAGCCAAAGCGATCTTGAAGAAGACAACCAAAATCAGAAATCGTGGATTTCCTGGTTTTAAATTGACTGCAAAGCTGCAGTACTCAAAACACCATGGTACTGGTATACAAGCCAACAGATTATGGAGAAGAATTTCTGTAACTCAAGACCCACGTGCATGAGCGCCAGAGGACAGCTTCACACTAGATCTGTAGGGATTTCCTGGAGATGACACCAGCTCAGGCAGCAAAAGTCAGTTGATCTCATCAGAACTTAAAAATATCTCTGCATCAAGGACAAAATCAGCAGAGGAAAAAGACAGCCCAGAGAATGGGAAACAAATCTGCAACTCATATCTGACAAGGATTCACATGCAGAACATGGAAGGAGCTCCTCCAACATAACAAGTAAACAAGCACCCCAATTTAAAAAGGAGTGAAGGAACGGAGTAGATATTGCTTCAATGACAATATACCAGTGGTCAGTAAGCCCATGCAAACATGTTCATGTCACCAGTCATGGGAAAATGCAAATGGAAACCACAGCAAGAGACCACCTCACCCTGTTAGGACATTGGTTATCCAGCAACCAGAGGGCACCAAGTTGGCAAGGATGTGGAAAATCTTGGACACCTCATGCCCCATGGGAATGTGATGATGCAACCACTGTAGAAAACAGCATGGCAGTTCCTCAGAAAATTAAAAATAGAATCCCCACGTTGTTCCGCAATTCCACTTCTGGGCATATTCTCAGAAGACCTGAAAGCAGGGACTCAGATACTGCGCACCTTCCCCCCCGGCAAGTTCAGCATGGCTTTACTCACCACAGCCAGAAGGCAGAAGTTCCCCAAGTGCCCATCAACAGAGTGGACAAAGCAACATGGTCTGTACTGGGTGGAATATTACTCAGCCTTGAAAAGGACAGAAATCCTGACACAGGCTGCAACATAACTGAACATGAAGGACACTGTGCTGAGTGAAATAAGCCAATCACAAAAAGTCTAATACCACTGATTACAATTCTGTGAGGTCCCTAAAGCTGTCACATTCAAGGAGAAAGAAAGTAGACGGGCTAGGGGAGGCGAGGGTAGAGGAGGGGGTGTCTAACGGAACAGTGTCAGCTTTGCAAGATGAAAGGGGCTCCGGCGCCGATGTTGGGGTAGCTTTCCCAGTAGTGTGGATGAGCTTGATGCCACTGAGCTGAGCCCTAAAAATGGCCAACATGGTCAATTTTATATTATGTATATTTTAGCTCACTTTAAAAAAATAAATATTTTTAATGCGATGCTCACTCGCAGCTGCTACATTTTTAGAATGGGTTCCCGGAAGCACGATTACTTAAGCAAAGAATCGACACATATTGCCAGGTTCTTTTCCGAAAGGCTCGCATGGTTGGTAGGTTGGCTAGCAAAGCTCCACGTCTTCTCCAATATTGAGCAGTTGCCATTTTTTTTAAATGATTGTGGAATTGACCGGAGAAAAAAGACCTTTCCATGCAGTTACTGATCAGTTACAATTGTCTTGTGAACTGAACCATGTAAATAGTAGCTCTTGTTTTTTCCTAATCAGTTATGATATCAACTTATACTTGTGGCATTTGTACTTGCTTTGCTTTTCTGGAAGGAAAATACAGAAATTTGTAAATCTTTAAACGTGTGCAGTATCCCTCAGAGGTTCATTCAGTATTTTTAAATATCCTTTTTTAGCTTGAAAATTTATATTCCCTTTCCTTTTCTTCTAACACTCTGGCAGGGGGAGGCTCCTTGGATTTTTCTATTTAACTAACCATCTCAGCCAGCTTTTATTTTGGTCTCAGGTGAAGACTAAAACTGATTTTTCCCCACATACACCCAGTCACGTACACCCAGCTAGCAAATCTTCCACCCCTTTCCACTGGTTCAAGACGGTTCTTCACCGCGACCCTCACCTGTTAGAAGTGTGTGTTGGCTTGGGGCTGCACTTGGCGCCGTCGGCCTCCTGAGCTGTCAGTGGCCTAAACTCACAAGCTCTGTCGTCCGCAGGAGGAGCCCTTCTTGTTAGAAGTTTTCTTCTTACCTTTCTTTCTTCCAGGTGAACTGAGAATCATTTTGTCAAGTGCCCAGAAAAATAGGGAGGCTCGTCTGCATTTTGACTAGAATTGTTTTAGATCTATAAACCAACTTGGGGGGAAATTAACATCTGTTTATTTCTAGTACTTATGCTTCCAGTTGAGAAATATACCTTATCTTTAATGTGTTCAGGTCTTTTATTTCTCTCCCCGTGTTGCTTATTTGTTTATACTTTAAGGGTTTTTTCCCTCAGTGATTTCCAAATTACAGTCTTTGCATTCTTTAAAGAACTACTTTATATGCATAAGACTTCAAAAACGTGGGGGGAATCACTCCTAAAGTTGAGATCCTTTGACCTGAGATCATCAGGAAAGATACATCAGCAGGCGTCTTCGCTTTTTCTTTGGCTTCTAGTCTGTGTTTCATATAAAGATTCCGGCTTTCCCCCCTTATTGCTGCTTTCCAGCTTGGCAGCACCGTCTCGGGAAGGGCACATTTCCCTGTCCCAGGAGAAACACGGAATTGCCTGAGAGCAGAGCACTCTCTATCTGAAAGCACAGGTCTGTGGTCAGCACCTGCTGCTGGGCCCCATGCAGGCCCCCTGCCCGCCACATGCCTAGTTGCACTGAGTCGATCTGTGTCCCTCCTGAGGGGGCGACCCCCAGGAGAGCCACCCTGTCCGGAGCTGACCCAACCCGAGGGTCATCAGCCAGAACCTGATGCTCAAGACAGACCGGAAGCCAGGGCTGGTGCACAGCAGCAGTCTCATGTGGGCACCCCCTCAGGAAGGGGAGCCCCTTGGCCTGTTACAGATGTGTGTTCCCCCCCAACCCCAGCCTCCAGCCCTGCAGGACCCGTGCACGTAGGGAGGGCTCCGGGTCACTTTCATTTTCTTAATGGCTATTTTAAGAATTACATTCCTGCTAGTAAGGGAGGACTCACCAAGCACCCCGGTTCTGTGCTAGTGGTTCGCTCGTTCCCTGAAATGTGCAGCGTGCCAGGCCCACAGATGAGGCTGCTGACCCCAGTGGCTTTGGTGGTTCCTGCTATTGTGAATCATCTTTCCCAACCAAAGGGCTTTTGCTTTTGCTCCTAAGTGGGGCAAATGGAGAGGGGGAGTTGTGTGAAGAATTATGAAGATGGGCCTGGTTTGGACAAGTCTAGATGTGTGTGTGAAGGAGTGAGGAGATTTTTCATGCACTTCAATCTTTGGTAGCTGTGGACACTGCCGAGGTGGGAAGGGGCCGCACCTCCCGGCACTTCAGCGCAGAACCCGCCTCTCCTGGGGCAGCTGCGTGCCTTTCCCTTCTCTAAAGCTAAGAGGTTGAGATCTGAGTAATTGTCTTAGTCCCCATAAAATGTAGTTTTTAATTTTTTTAACTTGAAACAAAATACCTGAAATTAAATATCAAATGTTTTCATCTGTGAAATGCAAAAATAAACACTGCATTTCACTTGATAGCTTTTTTAAAACTCGCCCCTTGCCAGGTGCTGTGAGTACCTTTCATCAGTAGCACTTTCTGTCTATTGAAGATAAAGCAGCTTTCCTCGCAGTATTATGTTTCAGCAAAGGTTTTCCAAGAAAAAGCCTGCATGTGGCATGCCGTGAGAGCCTGACTGGTAGAGGACGGTAGCCGGAGTCCACACTAGAGAATCGAGTCGTGGACTATTTGAATAGTTATTTGCCTTTTAAAATAATAAATAAAACTGGGTTGCCCAACAGCTAAATATGATGCATATGTTGAGGTCACTGGAACTGGAAGGTGAGGCTGCCCATGTTGGGGCACGATGCCTGAGAGGGGTCCACGTCGCGAGAGGCTGACATGTGCAGCTGGCGTGGAGCATCCGCACACTTGGGGGGCAGCCCCCTGGCTCACTGCTGCTGCCTGGTGGGGCTTTGGCGTCATCCTGTCGTCCCCCCTCCCAGTGGGAGCGCCCAGGGGCTTCACCCTGAGGTGCTAGGCCCTGAGCCCCAGCCCGCCCGCCCTTCCCTGACACGTCCCGCCCCTCCCCACCTGCCCCTCCGACCCCCCGCGCGCCGGCCCTCCCCCTCCCCCTCCCCCGCCGACCCTCCGGGTCCCCGCCGGCCCGGCCCTCCCTTCCCCTCCCCTCCCCCGCCGGCCTCCGGGTTTGAAGCCGCCGCTCGGGCCAATGGGCGCCGCCGACGTCACGCGCAGCCGCCCGCCCGCCGCAGCGCTCGGGGAGCCTCTTTTAACTAAAATGGAGGCTGGTTTCTCGCCTTGAGGAGCGCGCCGCTCTCCGCGGACGGCTAGATGTTGACATGTAACAAGGCGGGCAGCAGGATGGTGGTGGACGCGGCCAGCTCCAACGGGCCCTTCCCGCCCGCGGCCCTGCTGCACATCCGAGGTAAGCGCCCGCCGGCGCGCCATTGTGCTTCCGACGGGGCCGGGCCGCGGGCGCCCTGCCCGGCCCGGCGCGCCGGCCCCGGCCCCGGCCCCGATGCCGGCCCCGGCCCCGGCCCCACCCCGCCGCGGCCCGGGGCTGGTCCGCGCCCGCCCCGCCGCCCGCCAGCTGGAAGCGGCGCCCGCCCCGCCGCCCCCTCCCCGCGCTGACGTCAGAGGACGTGACGTCACGCGGCGCGGGCCGGCGGGGGCCCGGGCGGCCGGGGGTCGCGGGGCCGGGGGGCCGGGCGCCCCCGCCCTGCCCGGGGCGGCCCGCGGCGGCCGGCGGGGCGAGGGCGCGCGGGCTCTGGCGGGGCGGCCTCAGCGCGAGCGGCAACAAGTTTGCAAACTGCGGGGATCACTTCTGGGAACCCAGGGCCTCGCGGCCCGGCTGCCCCTCCCCGTAGTCGGGCTTTGACAGGCTTGTTCCGTAGAGTTTTTGTCATAATGGGGTGAAGCAGAACATGGACGCGGAGTTTCGTCAGGTACAAACGCATCATCTCGCAGCTCTGCCCCAGCCGTCAGGCGCGCCTTCCCGGCCGCCGGGCCAGGGTGGGAGCCGGCTCTGCAGGTGACTAAGTGCATGACTAAAATGCCCGACAAGATTCTTCAGATCCTAGGGTGTACCCGGGGAGACAAAAGCCCGAGCACCCGGGTCTGTTGGAACAAAATGGGGCTTGCTTCTCTCCGTGGCCTCATTACCGAAACTGGGGACAACGAATGCCCGCAGTGACCAGCCTGCAGGTCGTGCACCCAGGAAACAGCACATGTTGGCCCCTGGCGCCTCAATATTCCAGCCCCTGCCGAGGAGCAGAAAGACCCCAATTAGTTCTTACGCAGCACTGGTTAGCAGGAGAGCCCTTTCCTGCGTATAAAAATGTATATTTTTATACTTTCAAGGTGTCTTTTTCTGAACTAAGAGTTGTTTTGGCTTGTGAGTTTCCAGGTTTATTGACACTTCATGCACTTGTTAATTGTCAAGCTAGGACTCTATTCTGATAGGTCTTTGGTTTTATGTCTTACATTGCGCTGCCTTTTTTTAAAAATGTCAAGACCTTATGACCCCTTTGGATTTTTTTTTTTTTTTTTTTTTTTGCTGTGGGTTGAGTGGTTGGTGGTTTGCCACCCAGTCAGGGAGGGGAAAGGTAATGCAGGGTATTAACCTGCCAAAGACCCGAGTTTTTAAGAAGGGGTAACCTTTAGGGGCCTAAAACTAACTTCTGATTCATACAGAGTACTTTTGAATTTCAAGACTTGGCAAATGCTTGATTTACTCACCAGGGGCTCTTAGAGCCTGAAGGACAATGTGAAGCTTAGCAAAACTGGTTTTATTTAGATTGGCTTGTAGATTCCTGACCAGCTTCACCTCCAGTCAGCAGCTCTGCAGCGTGTGCCCAAGAGCGCGTTGGTGGAGAGACCCAGGCCTGGCAGGTGAGGGTGCACGCCCTCCCAGCAGGGACACATCCCAGCCCAGGCCCAAAGGTGTGAGGGTGGCCCCAGCCGCTTTCAGCCCCAGCAGGTGTTGTGTTTCCTTCAGAAGCTTTTCTTAAAAAACCTCATTTGAAAATAAAAATTGTGACTGTTAGAACCTTTGACCACAGGATTACAGTAGTGGTTTTTCACAAAGTCCGTCTGTTTCAGTGGTCTCTTTTGTATGACAGTTGGGTGCCCGGAGTGCATGTCTTCATTCATTTCACCAGCCCCTGCCCAGCCCCTGCCCCCACCTGCCCAGCACTGTCCTGACTGGGCACCTGGAGCAGGTGGGTCCCGGCCGCATCCCATGGAGTCTGCAGTGGACACTGTCCACCACCAGAGCAACTCGGAGCCCCGGCTGGCTTGACAGCTATTTTCTACTACCGGTCTAGAGTCTGTGATTGATGAGTGAACTGGCATGTTTTGAAGAAGTTCAAGTGTGGGAAGGACTTTCGTTTGAAACTTAGTGCGAGCTTTTCTGTCTGTGGAAGGCCAGCGTCATGGAACTTGATGGCTGTAAATTTAGCTCGATGACTTAAATCCTGCACTTGCAGCGCTGTCCAAGAGAGCCGTCTGCTGTGGAGGGGATGTTCCCTGTGCTGTCCGCTGCTGGCCCAGCCTCTGTGGCCACTGAGCACTTCTCGTGTGGCTGAGCGCCGAAGACCTGGGGTTCTAGGTCTGTAGCGTCGGGCAGCGGGGTTCAGGCTGGGAGGGACAGGCGTTTTAGACCAGGGCTGGGAGTAAATATTTGGGATGGCAAAGGCAAAGGCAAAGGCAGCCATGGTCAGCAAGTAAAGGACAAGTCATGACCGCCTCGGGTTAAGTCTCTTTAGAAAGCAGGTAGCAGCCAGACCTGGCCCAGGGGCACTTTGCCCACCCCTGTTCAGACTTGTCCTATGAGTGGGCTTCACAGCAGCTTTCCCTCCTCTCCGTGGCTTGGGTGTGGGCACTAGCTCCCCACCGCCCACCCCCGCCACAGAGAGCTCTCAAGCAGGTGCAGCCAAGCCCAAAAGATGTTAATGGCAGAGCAGGGAGCAAAAACTTGTCTTTTCCTAAACCCATTTTCTTCCAGGGAAATGGAGGACTGATCTCAAAAAGTCTCCCACAAGTACTTCCTGAGCCACAGTTCGCAGTTTGCCTTCCTGATTAGAAACGCGCAGGTGCTGGAGGATATGGGTTCACACCCCTGCCTGGGGGTACCATTTGCCCCCACTGCTTGGTGGTGGCATTTACCATCACCCACACATGGTGAAGCTGGCCGGCTGGGACTACTCAGTGAGGCCCCGAATAA